ACTTGTGAACTTGTTTGGGTAAAACAATTCTTGCAAGAATTGAACTTCTGTGAGATTCAATCTATGAAGATGTATTGTGATAATCAAGTTGCTCTTCACATTGCTTCCAACCCAGTATTTCATGAGAGGACCAAGCATATTGAGATTGACTGTCATTTTATTCGGGAGAAATTGTTGACTAAAGAAATTTGTACTGAGTTTGTTGGTTCCAATGAGCAGCTTGCAGATGCATTAACAAAATCTTTGAGAGGACCTCGAATGGAATTCATTTGTTCCAAGCTTGGTACATTCAATTTGTATGCTCCAGCTTGAGGGGGAGTGTTGAAGTATTTATTAGATTAAATGTATCTTGTTGGACATTTATGAGATTAGTTGTAGATCTAGTTCCTAGAATGCATCTGTTTATCTTCTCTAGGATTAATCATGTCTCTCTATTAATTGTATCTCTGAATCTGTATTTTTATCTCCTATAAATAAGAGAACACAAGAAGATGATTTCAGGCTCTCAAAATCAGTTCTTTAATGTAGAAGCAGAATATAGAGCTATAGACTCAACCACTTGTGAACTTGTTTGGCTTAAACAATTACTTACAGAGTTAAAATTTGGAGATGTCACTCAAATGACATTTATGTGACAATCGGGTTGCTCTTCATGTTAACTCTAACCCTATCTTACGTAAAAGGACCAAGTACATTGAAGTTGACTGTCATTTTATTCGAGATAAAATTGTATCGGGAGACATTAAGACCGATTTTGTTAACTCAAATGAACAATTAGCAAATATTTTCACCCAAGTCCTTACAAGGACCTAGGATTGATTATATTTGTAACAAGCTTGATACATATGATTTATATGCATCAATATATGTATTTGTCATATTTAGTTGTATGACTTTTAATTATAAATATATTATTACCTTATGTGTATTTTAGACACAAGGGAATTAATCTTATACCTAGTTTTCACTATATTCAACACAACCCATCCAAGGGGTATAAAGTCAAGAGATGCGAATCAATGGGCATAACCCTTGGAATAGAGATATAACCATTAGGAAAAGTTGTATCAATTGGGAACGATTGTTAGAAGCAATATAAAAATAGAAGTAATCCAGATTAGGAAAGACACAAAAAGAAAATTAGGAAAGAATTGAATTGTAAAGAGTCAGGCTCTCGAAAACCTGTTATACAAATATCTCAAAATTATCTTTTATAGATTTTATTCATTTTTCAATCTTGTCTAGTTATTATTTGTTCATATCAATTTGGTATAGAGCACCGATCAGGTGCTTTGCTTCTAAAAATGGTGACAACTTGTTCTAATTCTGATAATCATGACACAATGGAGAGAATTTTGGAGATGTTAATGGTGGACCGACAAAACCGAGATGCAAAACAACTTGAAACACGTTTTGCACGAATAGAAACCATGGTAGAAAATTTGTCAAAGCATTCAATGGCTCACCCAGAGGTTCCATCAATGGAAAAGAAACACCCAAGAACCACGCCAGGGAAGGAAAAATAGAACGATGGAGAATTTGATGCTTATAGATGTATAAATAAATTGGAACGTTTCTTTCAAATGAGAGATGTATTAGAAGAAGAGAAAATTCAGACATTATGGTGGTACTAGATGGAAAGGCACTATCTTGGTTCCGATGGTGGGAAACTTGAAACTCAACATTTGATGGGGAGAATTCAAAGTTATCATTCTTGAAGAAAACAAAGCAATTTTGAAGATGTTGGTGAAGAACATTTACAAGACATTTTTGTGAACGGATTGAAGGAAGACATTGTGACGGAAATTAAACCCTATGAACTCCCCACTTGTTCAATCATGATCAATAAGGCATTAATGATCAAGTAGAAAAAAAAAAGCAATTTCGAAGGTGAGAACAAATATTACTTCAAATTCAATCTCAAAATTTGACACCTCTTACCGAAGTCCATCCCATACGAAGACCATTACTTATGGTGTTAGTCAAAGAGGTGGAGGAAATAGTAATGGTCCTAATTCTTTTGCTAGCAGGGCATCTCTGAACAAACCAGAAAACAATGGACCTAAATTTTCAACGATTAACCGAAGCGGAGCTTCAAGAAAAAAGGAAAAAGGAGAATGTTTTCGCTGTGAAGAAAAATGGAGCACGTCTCATGTATGCAAGAATAAACAACTCCGAATAATGTTAGTAACAAATGAAAATGACAATGAAAACTATGAAGATGAACTCAAACAAAAAATTAGAGAACACCCCAATTATCCATGAATAGTATTGTGGGATTTACTTCTCGCCAATCCTTAAAGGTTTGGGAAAATATTAATGATCACAAAATCATAGTATTGATAGATTGCGACATCACCCATAACTTCATTTTCAAGGAACTGATAGAAAAATTACAATTAAAAGTAGATGACACTCCGTCATACGTGGTGAAAGTTGGAGATGGTCACAAAATCAAATGCAAGGGAATATGTAAAAAAGTTCCTTTGAAAGTGCAAGAAGTACATGCCCAACAATTCTTCTTGTTTGGCCTCGGAGGCTTAGATGTGATTCTAGGAATGGAATGGTTAGCAAGTTTAGGAGAGACTAAAACCAACTTTGAACAACTAATATTGGCCCTCAAGATTGATGGCAAAAAGGTGATTTGAAAGGGAGAACCTAAACTTTCAAAGAAAGATGCTTCACTTACTACTATGTTGAAAGCTTTGCATCAAGGAGAAGGATTCCTTATTAGTTATCATCATATTCAAACAGAAAAAGATAAGACAAATTCAATTCCTTCAGAATTAAAAGATGTGTTAAATGAATTTTCCTCCATCTTTGAGCCTCCAGAAGGACTTCCTCCTCAATGACATCAAGACCATGTCATTCACCTCAAAGAAGAAGCCTAAATACTGAATATTATACCATACAAGTATCGTCACTATCAGAAAACATAGATTGAAAAATTGGTTGTTGAAATGTTAGAAGTAGGAATCATCATACGATCTACAAGTCCTTATTCCAGTCCTATCATACTAGTCAAAAAGAAAGACGATAGTTGGCGATTTGTGTAAACTACCAAGCCTTAAACAAAATCACACTTCCTGATAAATTTCCCATCCTAGTAATTGAAGAGTTGTTGGACGAAATAGGAGGGCCTCATGTATTATCAAAATCATATCACCAAATCAGGATGAACGAATATGTCATTGCAAAAACCGCTTTCCGCACACATGAAGGATACTATGAATTTATGATACTTCTATTTAGACTCACTAATGCACCTTCCTCTTTTCAATCATTAATGAATGAAGTTTTGTAGCCAATACTCTAAAAATATGCTTTAGTATTCTTCGATGATTTCCTAATATACAACCCTTCCATGGAAGAACACAAGCAACACCTACAAAATGTATTGACACTACTAGAGCAAAATAAATTGAAGATCAACGACAATAAATGCTCATTCGACCAAGCAAATTTGGAATATCTAGGACATGTTATTTTTGCAGGAGGAGTATCCGCAGATCCTAAGAAGTTGGACACAATAACACTATGGCCTAGACCCAAGGATGTCATTGACTTAAGGGGATTATTAGGTCTTATTGGCTATTGTAGGAGATTTGCTCATAATTATGGAAGAATAGTGAACCCACTGACCAACCTCTGGTAAAGAAAAATGTCTTACAATGAAATCCAGAGGCGCAAAATTCCCTTCGAACAACTTAAACAAGCCATGACCAGATTACCTACATTAGCAATTCCTGACTTATCAAAGCTTTTTGTGGTTGAAACTAATGCTAGCGAAACCGAATTACGGGTTGTTCTAATGCAAAAAGGAAGACCCCTAACCTTCTGGAGTACTACCTATTTGAAAGAAACTTGAGAAAATCAGTATATGGGTTATACTTTGTGGGATGAAGAGATCAAACAAGATGACAAATTACAAAAAATTATGCAAGACCTAATTATTGATCCCACATCTCATATGGGTTATACTTTGTGGGATCAGAAGTTATTTTACAAGGAGAAATTGGTACTATCCAAGTCTTCCTCCCGGATTCCAATCATTTTAAAAGATTTCATTCATCCTTGGTAGGAAGACATTCAAGTATCTTTAGAACTTTCAAAAGAATAGCAAGTCTGGTGTATTGGGAAGGGATGTAAACCGACATAAAAAATTTCGTTGTTGCTTACGATGTTTGTCAAAGAAACAAAAATGATAATTTATCTCCAACAGGACTGCTACAACCATTACCAATCCATACTCAAGTATGGATAGATATTTCTATGGATTTTATTGGAAGACTGCCCAAATCCATGGGGAAGGATACAATCTTGGTGGTGGTGGTGGTTGACCAACTCGCTAAATATGCCCACTTCATACCATTAGGGCACCCCTACACTGCTACTAGAGTTGTTGCAGTATTTCTACAAGACATTGTGAGATTGCATGGATTTAGCAATATTTCTACAAGAAATTGTGAGATTGCAAGGATTTCCATCTTCCATTCTTTTAGATCGTGACCCTCTATTTTTAAGCAATTTCTGGAAAGCCCTTTTTAAAGCAGAATGTTTGGCATACCATCCCCAAACTAACGGTTAGACGGAAATTGCCAACCAATGTTTGGAAGTTTATTTACGATGCTTAACTGGAACAAAGCCTAAAAAATGGGTCTATTGTCTTCCTTGGGCCGAATTCTGGAAATTAGGAAAGAATTGTATCATGGAGAGACAGGCTCTCGAAAACCTGTTATAAAAATATCTCAAAATTATCTTTATAGATTCTATTCATTTTTCAATCTTGTCTAGTTATTTTTTGTTCATATCAACTTCCAAATTAGAAAAATCTCTTAATATTAAGTGAGCAACAAGGCATGCAACTGCTATTATAGGTGACAAAACTCTCCAACACAAACAATAACAAAATGTTTATGCACATATCTGTTAGTGAGAAACTCAGTACACAATACTAGCTAACATTTTCCTATTGCAACATGAATTATGAATTATCACACTCAATTTTTCCCACCCACCTGTGTTTCCCTGACAAAAAGAGTTAATGAGATAAACCAAAATTGATTCAGCAAAAGTCCGCAACAAGTTAAATAACAAACCTTTAAACGAGTGAACTCTTCATGAACAGCTGGATCTAGTAACAACCTCCTAGCCTGAATTATATTCCAAAGAATTTCAAGTCATTTAACAATTCTGGGAATCAAAATATCTAAAATAGAATACAAGATACAACTTGATGTAGAATTTGTGCAGGAGGATTAACTTTAAACAATGATGTGAGATGATATAAACAATAGATGCCACAAACATTAAGTACCTATCCATGCTGTGAAAGTTCAGAAGAAGCACTATAAGAACAAATTCAATATCATTCCTCATTTCTCAATTTTTAGTAAAGTAGGAAGTGCTGATGCAAAATTTAAATATTAAAAAAATAGTCACCTATTATACTGACTGGATAACCTTTGCTCTAAAATCTCAAGTGGACCACCCTATATTAACCTGAAGAACTAGAAATGAATACCCAAACTCTTCTATCCCTAGAGTAGATTCAAAACCAAGGTACATGTTACAATGAATCAAAGTAAAGTGAAAAATACCATTTTTAAAAGTAGTTAATGCCTTAATGGTGCAGTATTTCGCATTAGCACAGCAGTGTTATCAAAAGGCGGTCATGGCAGCGCAGAAATGGAATTTTTGCCGGCCACCACGACAGGCGGCAGTGGCGAAACAGCTTTTGCATGGCAGCTCTTAACGACTGCTTTGGCTGTCTCGAAATGGCACCGCAGAGTGGCCATGGCAAAAATCTCGCTCCTGCAGCCACAGCTTGCATTGAGAGGTGAAAAAAGGTATTAGGTTTGCTCTGACCCAGGACTAACCTACGGTTTCTACTTTTAATCTGATGCTTTTGTTGTTTGTGTGGGTTTTCTTTTGAGTTTTGTAAGAGACCCAACCCACTAACAACAGAAAAAAAGTTATGTCAGCAGCCCAACCTAAACCTGACAGCTAGGAAATAAAAAGACCCAACCAAACACATCTCTCACACTTCTCCCTCACCGCAGACCTGAGTCGCCGCCACTTTGGTCATTACACATTTAATTTGTGATATTTCTTCTTGTTTCTTTTTATGTTCAACTCCATTTTCTTTTTTATTCTTCCTTCGTTCATCTGCAGCAAGATGAATCAACCATTTTTTTCCCCTTTTTGTATTCCTTTTTCATTTTTTTCCTTTTCATTCTTTAGTTCATTTGGCCCCATTTTTTTTTCTTTTATTCTCTTTCCTCTTTGTCCCAACCACAACCAACCTCCCCAAATTTATTATAATTTATTTATCTAAAAAAGCTAATCCATTTTTTTGAAACTTCAATGTCAACTAAATAATGCAGTTTAGAACTTAAATTTGATGTTTTGTTTGATTTAATTGCTATTTGAAATTTTATATTTGATATTATTATCAATTATATGATTAATTTTATACTAGCCTAATTGATGGTGAATTATAGGGAATGGCATCATTGTACACAAGGAAAAAAGGAATCCAACCTTTTTTCTTAGATAATTAAAAATTTAAACAATTAGGTTTGAAAATAATCAAATAAATGTTGCAGGGTGCATCACTCATGCCCTTTAGTACTGAATGACATGTACTAATGTTACATGTACAGTACATATATGTTAAGCTAGATGCAGTATAACACAATTAAAGAAATTGAAATACAAGCAACTGGGCACGGAATTAAGAGCAGTCTCTACAATGCCTCAAACGAATTAAAAAAAAAATACAGGATTCTAAAATTAATGTGTAAAGAAGAATCATCAGCAAGCAAATTCATTAATAGGTCCAGTTAATCACTCGTGTAGAAATTTACCTGCATAGATGGTGGCTTGAGTTGCACTTTCAGATCCCACACAGCAGACTGGAGATGTTAGCAGACAACCAAAAACAAAAGGAAATCCAAATAAGAGCAATAGAAAAGAACAGCAGCAACAACAAAAACAACAGGTTCCAACTCTTGCTTGATCAGCCAGCAACATTTTGGTAGGATGAACGCTTAGTTGAAAGTTATCAGGTGACCATTCCAGAATCCACACAGTTTACTAGGTGTAACCAGACACTTTACAAGTAAACAGAATAAAAGAGAGGTAAATATCTACTGGAATGTCTGATCAGACCACTATAACTGTTTTCCAACTCCCAACTTGGTCAATAAGACATATAACATCCAAGATTAAAAATTGAAGAGCATTGCAGATGTCAAGCAGAATATACTGAAACTTCATACAGACAATTATTTGATGCTCTTGGCTGTTAGATGTAAATGATAAAGAATGAGAAAAAGAAAGACCGCACTTCATATATTTTCCTAAGAAGGATGGAATTTACTAAGGTGGTTATGGTTGATGCCGAAAAGAAGCACATACACATACACAATCATGTTAATGCAATAACAGGTAAGCACCTTATTATAAGATATTACCTTCAACTCGGTTATCTCCTGCTCTCGTTTCGCAAATGTTACAATGAATGCAGCTTCCTTTTTCTTCGCCTTTTCAAGCTATCCAATTGGAAAATAATAAAGAATCAATGAAACCAGATCAATAGATGATGAATTATTTAGAATAAATAAAATAAAAAACTAGATTCTAAACCTGCTCTCTTAAAGACTCTTCAGAGGTTTTCAAGGTCTGAAGATGATTTATCAACATTTTGGGATCTAGAAAGAAGAAATATTAAATAATGTTCAAGTATACATTTAGAACACAGAAAATAAATGTATAAAGAGTCATTGCTTGAACAGTTAATGCAGGTATATGTCACTTTTGAAACAGAGTACAAAACCTGGAGTCACCCCAGCAGGTACAGAAGGTTCATTTTTAAGTGTAGAATGCCAACTCTGAATCTCAGATTTTGCAGCCTCAAGTTCATTCTAAAAAATTCAATGCTCTTGTCAATAATATATCTAAGCAAGGAAAAGGTAAAGCTCAAACCTATAATATGAGAATATTACTATCATATGTGGAAATTTGTACAAAAAGCAAACAACCCTCCATTTTAACAGATTAGAGTCAGCTATGGAAATAAAGATCGAAGGGAATAGTGCAATAACATTCTGTTTCAAATCATTACGATCTGAACACAGTAGATGAAGATTAAAGCCTATTTATTATTCATCATGAACCGGCCATAATCCAAGTCTTCAATCACATAGATATTGACTAATGGTTGCTTCTCTAAATAACAAAAGTTCAAATTCTTTCAACATAGAAACTATAAAAATGAGAAATTAAACAGCAACAGAGACGGGAGCAAACAACTTCAATTCTTTAAAGAAAAAACGTACTTGGCATGTTACAAGGGTATCCTTACAGTTCTGAAGACTGCAAAAATACAAAGATAAAAAACATGTTATAGACCCAAATAATTAACTCCAATCTTGACAAACTACAATATACCTCGGCACCATTTTTACTGTAAAATACCTCTCGCGCAGTGACAAAATCATTCCTGTTGTGACACCTGAAGCTTCTTCAGCTTTTGATTTAGCCTGCACCACAAATCATCATTTAATTCTTTTTATTTTTATAAAGCATATCATTAGAAGCTACATAAAAATTTAGCAAAAAAAAAAAAAAAAGTTAAGCTACATAAACTGATAAATCAAATCCCCTTCTCACATGTCAACTTCCACTGCTCACACACAAGTAATCCCCAATCAAACATATATCACCAATGCCTGCACAGAGGTGAAAAGAGTAAAACCCTAAAACTCAGCCAAATCCTCCATAAAAAAATGTTGAAATTAAAATGTTGGAAAAAAAAAATAACATTATTCATATCTCACTTTCCTCATCCCCAATCCAACAGCCCCCAAGAAAAGTAAACAAAAAATAACACATTCTACCATATCCTGCACCTAAATGCCGACACTGCGTAACAGATTCACACAAACCGTACCTTCTTCGGCGCAAAAGGATCATTATCGTAATCTTCATCGTCGAAATCGGGAGATGATCTCTTACTAGCTAGATTTCAAGACAAAGAAACAATCAAACTCAACAGGTCAAATTCAAACCGCGCTAATCAGAAAAACAGCGAGAAGAATCAATACCTAGATGTCTTCCGCTAAATCCACCTCCGAAATCGAATTCCTGCTTTTGGTAGAAGCAAAGTTGAGGTTAAAGGGAATGACGAGAGTGAAAGAAAAGGGATGACGAGGGATAGCGCCACTTACATCGTCGAAATGAGTGGGGGAAGCCATGAAGTTAAAGAAACCCTAGAGTGCTGTGAAAGAAGTGGTTTTGCAATACAGTTATCTGTCCAGGTAAAGTGAGATGATTTTGGTTCAGTTTCTTCCTCTTAGAAGAATCCTGACAGAGCAGCTAACAAAATGAGAAAAGATTTTACTCGTCTCAATAACTAATATAGGATTTTCATAAAATCATACTATTTATATGTCATAATATTAAGTTAAATATTTAATAAAATTATTATTACATAATAATTTAATATTAAGATAAAAATGAATAATGTAAAATTTTATATTATTTTATTATTTTTATATTTAAATTTATAATAATTATAAATTAAAACTAATACTTAAAGACATATTTAATAAGAATAACTCACATAATTATTTCTTATCTTATAAAAATATAAAAAAATATTTATGATATTAGATGATTTAAGTTATTTATGAATGATTTTATTCTATTAAAAATTTTCTTAAAAAAATTAAAAAAAAATTATTCTGTTTTCTCATTTATTTTAATTTATTTATTTTTATAAATTATTTGAAACATTATTAAAAACATTTAAGCATCTATCATTTTATATAAAATTTCTCTAATAAAAAATTATTATTTTAAGTAATTAATATTTTATTTAAACATCTCAATAAATAATTCTTATTATAAATAATTTAAGTAAAATTAAAATAAATTACATTAATAATTAAAATAATTTAATTAAATCAGGTGATATGTATTTTGCATACTTTATTTTATAAACTAAACTTTTTATTAATTTTATCAGCTACAGAAAAATGATTATATTTGCTTGCATAAAATTCTGTTCACTTTCTGCACTTATATTTAAATTATTTTTATACTAATTTTATATTAAAAAAAATTATATAATTAAATGTATATTTTCAAATAAAATTATTCAACATACACTATATTTTATTGATTTTCAATATTATTTTAAAGAAAAATATATATTTTTTATTATATAATTTATATAAATTTTAAAAATATGTGTTCAAATTCAAATAATGTCTAAATTAATAATCAATGGCTTAAAAAAAGTCATTGATGAAAAAAATATTTTTGAAAGTGACATATATAATTAACATAAATAGTATTTTTAAATAATAATAAAATAATAATATGATAAATATTTGTTAACACAATACCTTATAAATAAATTTTCACTATTATAAATATACAATCCTAATATTTCAAAATAATTATCATAAACAAATATTATAAATAATATAAATATCTGATAAACAAATATTATAAATAATATAAATATCTGATAAACAAATATTATAAATAATATAAACATTTCATGACAATTAAAAATTTAAAATATTAAACAATAAAATAAAAGTTAGATAGAATATTTCATAAAATAATAATTATATTATTTAATTTTTCTTAATCTATATTTTTATTCATTATCTTTTTAAGAAAATGTAGGTATGTGATAGAAATACAAACACATATTTCACAAACTTTTTAAGAAAAAGTATAAATATTATCATTCCCAGACATGCATAAACTTTATTCATATTTGAAACAATATTCCAAAATCACAATTTTAGTAAAATTGATTTGTAATATAAAAGGAGAAAAAATTTTCACGATTTAGTAAGAAAAAAAATGTAAACCTTTTACATAAGAAAAATTTTTACCTAAGAAAAAATGTAAAGATGTGATTGAATAATAATCCTTAAATAAAGTCAAAATGAAGAACTATTAAAGAAGGGGAAGAATATTTATTCAAACCCTTATTTTATAACTTACATGTGTTCTAGGGTTTAGATTTCACCCACTCTAAAAACCTTGAATCAAGGTTTCCTCTGTTGAAGTAAGTATAAGTATAGTTTATAAGAAGAAAAAAAACTTAAATGGATGAAAAGACAAAAATACACAATTCATTATAAAGTTGTGAGATTGGGAAGAAGAGATGAAAGTAAAAAAAAAAATGAGACAAAGGGTTTTGTAGCTTATATGTGGATTTAGGATTCGAATTTGACCTAGTCTAAAAACCCTAGATCGAGGTTACTCATACAAAGGAAGTATAAATATACATTTATAAGAAGAAAACAAATCATAAATTAGAAAGAAAAAAAAACACAAGTTTGAGATGGAAAGGAAAAGATGAGAGTAGATATTAGTTTATCAATTATTTAACTTATATGTATTATTAGTATGCATAATTAGTTTTATTTATATACAAAGGTATTATGTGATTCTAATTTGGCACATTTTAATTCTCATTAATGTTACAATTTTATTGACATCATTATATTTGTATTTGTATGCTGTGTGTTTATGTATCACCTAAAGAAGAACATTAATATACTTTAATTATTTTTTGATATATTATATGTATAACAAGTGTTTTATGACTTAACACTTATGTGTAACTTTATTATGCAATGTTGGTTCCCAACTTCATGAATTCTCATGTATCATTTGTACTAGTTTTTAATGGGCTTAACTTCGTTGACTAGAATAAGCAAGTTCAATTTTACCTTGATGTTATGGATCTCTATCTTATTATATTGGAAGAGAAGTTTACTGCTATTATTGACTCTAGCAGCAATGAACAATAAGCCCATTATAAAGTTTGGAAAAGATCTAACAAACTTATCTTAATGTTTATAAGAATGGTAATTACTGACAATATTAAGACAACTCTCCCCAAAACTGAAAGTGTTTAAGATTTGTATGGGATTAGTTGGAGAGTGCTCCCAAATAATTGATAAGTCTCTTGTTGTGACACTAATGAGTACACTGATCATCATGAAATTTGATGAATCACGTACTATGCATGAACATATCATTAAAATGACAAATATTGCAGTAGTGCTTAAGGCCTTGGGAATGGCAATGAATGAAAACTTACTAGTACAATTTATTTTGAACTCATTACCGTTTGAGTATGGTCCATTTCAAATGAACTATAATACCATGAAAGATGAATGGAGTGTGCATGAATTGCACAATATATTGGTTCAAGAAGAAAAGAGGCTTAAGAATCAAGGAAATAAATTAGTTCATTATGTAAGACACCAAGGGAATCAAGAAGCTAGAAAGAAATATATGAAGAAAGATGATAAGGAAAAAAATCCACAAAAGATTAATGAGACATTATGAAAATTCAAAAGAAAACATTAAAGGGCATTAATTGCCATTTTTGTAGGAATTCTGAACATTTCTAGAAGGCTTGCCCTAAACGTAAGGCTTGATTACAAAATAAAGGTAAGCTTAATGCTTATATATGTTTTGAATCAAATCTAATTGAAATTTCACATAATACATGGTGGATTGATTCTGAATGCACGAATCATGTTTCTAATATGATAAAGGGATTCCATACAATCCAAATCATAAGGCGAAACGAAACGTTTGTCTTCATGGGGAATAAAGTGAAAACTCTAGTGGAAACAATCGAAACTTATTGTTCAATCCTTAACACTAGACATCATTTAGATTTATTGGAAATTTTTTATGTACCTAGTTTACCTAGGAATTTGGTTTCATTATTTAAATTTGATGTTACTGGATATTCTTTTAATTTTGGTAATGGATGTTTTCAATTTATTTAAGCATAATCATCTCATTAATACTCGTAATCTTTGTGATGGTTTATATAAATTTAATTTGGATGGTTTGTATGTTGAAATGCTTATGACTTTACATGATAATGTTGACATTAAACACAATTTAGTAAATGGATGTTTTGCTTTCTTATGGCATAAATAGTTGAGTTACATTTATAGAGAAAGGATAAAAAGATTAATAAAAAATGAAATTTGTCTGGACCTAGATTTTACTGGACCTAGATTTTATTGATCTAAATATTTATGTGGATTGTATAAAAGGAAAGCAAACAAAACACATAGAGAAAAGGGTTATAAGAAACAATCAACTTCTTGAAATTGTGCACATTGACATTTATGGGCCTTTTAACGTTACATCTTTTAGAAAGAAAAGGTACTTTATCACCTTTATTGATGATTATTCATGTTATGGCTATGTCTATTTACTGTATGATAAATCTCAAACAATAGTTTCCTTGGAAATTTATTTGAATGAAGTACAAAGGAAATTAGACAAAAATGTGAAAGTTATCAGGTTTGATAGAGGTGGTAAGTATTACGAAAAGTATGATGAGATTGGGTAACACCCAGGTCCATTTGCTAAGCTCTTTCAAAAGTGTGCTATTTGTACACAATACACAATGCTAGGTACACCGCAACAAAATGGTGTATCAGAAAGGAGTAATAGAACATTAATGAATATGGTTGATGTTAGAAAAGAAGGTTGAGATCAAGAGGGGGGGTGAATTGATATTTGAAAGATTTTCGCAATTTACAGATTATCTATTTCAAAGATTAAGAGTTCTGACCAATTCTTGAATCAAGCAAAACAAACAATTGAAATGAAGACAACAACATAATTAAAGAGAGTAAGGTTTAGAAAAATACAATAAAGATTTATACTAGTTCACCCAATCCCAGGGTTACGTCCAATTCTCAGCCAAATTCTAGCTGAGTTCCACTAGATTGAATGTTTTACAGATTACAGATTCCAATCACACACCCAACCTACCACAAGAACCAAAATTCCAATCATTGCACCTAAACCTTCACCAAGAACTAACTTCCAGTTCTTGAACCAACCTACAGCCAAATTCCAGCTACAGAAACAGTGCCCAACAATTCCAAACACCCACAATACAATAAAGAAATGTAAAGAAACAAAGAGAAGAAACTAGAACACTCAAACCCAGATTATGAAGCTCTGCAGAATGAGTTTCTTCACAAAAGAAATGCAAAAATTGTCTCAAGAAAGAACTTTGAAAAACTTCACAAAACTTGCGTGATTCTTTCTTGAAAGTAGCTCTTATGATTGCTTGATTGATTACTCAAAGGTATATTTTAAAAGACTCAACCAATCCTGTTTATATAGAGATTTGTTCTAACTGCTGGTTTAATTAATCTGTTAAAACAATCTTTTAATC